CCCCCCCCCCGGTAAATATCGTACAGTCCCTAAGATGGCATGCACTTTTGGGAGGCCGCTAGCGTGTTGATTTCAGTATGTGAGAAGTTTTCAACACATCTGATATTCCCTCTAACTCGATTTGCCTGTTTTATTTTTCCCCAGGCTCTGATTGTGTCTACCTGTGAATAATTAAAAATTTAACGGCTCTCAGTGGCCAATGTGCAGATGTTGTCACATCGGCGCACCAAATCCGTAGTGTGTTTTTGGCACCCAGTTAGACAGATTAGCCTATTAAGAGGCTCGGTGGGCGTCACTCCACCGTATACTTGGGGAAGTCATGTAAAGTGCCTTTCTCAAGGGCACAACGTCGGGACACGGTGAGTATCGAACTCGGGACCTCTCGGTTCCGAGTCCAACGCTCTAACCGTTGCGCCACCGACGCCACTTTTGAATAATTCCTTTCTGATATGCAACGGACAAAATTATGACGAAACGTTGACCAAACAGCCAACGGACACCCTGGATTCGCGCAGACACAGTACGTTGTACCGACGTACTTTCTAAGTAATGTTCCTCTTGAACAATGCGTAGGTGTTTTAAGTTCCGTATTTCGTCCTTTTCGCTACCCCCCCCCCTCAAATAGGGCACGTTGATACACTTGAGGTCCGTTGAAGTGCACTAGTTACAGGAAAACAGCAAGAAGAAACGCCCACGGTCTGTTTCACTTCTTGATCAGTCCTCCAGGCTTGGGGAGGCGGCTTGAAAGAGTAGAAATCGGCCAAATGTAGAGAGATAACATGCCAGGGGAGCTTGTCCGCTGGAGAGTACAGTTTTTTTTTAAATTGCCGCACCCAAACTGTACTCCTCTAGCGTAACAACTCCCATGGCAAGTCAAAACCAGTAAAACTATAGCTTGTACCATGTATGTTGTAGAATATAGTATAATGTTACGGACGTAGATATAGTATCACATACCACTGTATTTTCTTTCTTATGTTGTTTGTAACTGCAATTAGCCCTCGGGCGTGTATTTGCAATAAACTTTCAACTTTCATTATCTTTCTCTATTTGGCCGATTTCTGCTCTTTCCGGCTGCCTGCCGAAGCCTGGCAGAGGCTATCAATGGACCGAAACCACGTGCCGAAACTGAGCTGCGCGGAGGTGTACAAAGTTTCGGGTCGAGTTTCCGTTCCACTTTCCATAACATTACATCAGTTGAACAAAGAGTTTTCAGTTCGCAGTTCCTGTCGACCGCCTACCCACAGTAGTGTGTGTGCAGCTCCACAGACAAGGTAGGTGTGCGTTAGTCTCTACCAGACTAACTAACTAACTACTGGCTATATATACTATACTATCGGAGAATATTTGCCAGGGGAGTTTGCCCACCTTGTAGGGGGCCCGCAAGCCCTTTTCCGTAGAGCGTAATTATTGGCGCATTTTGCATAGAGCGTATTCGCCGTTTTAATTCTACGTAATGCGTTGTAGCCACTTGGAATTTATCGTCAAGCGTAATCGAGAGGTTTCCGAAGTCAGCGTAGAGCGTTGTCGGGGACCCCCCCCCCTTGCAGGCCCTCTTGTAGGTTTGACTGGCCGCGCTTCGGAGGGAAAGAAACTACCTCCCCGCGGCCGGACTCCCTTGGCCAATTTTACTCTCCTTTTTGCCGAATTCTACGATTTGTATTCCCGTAGAAAGGCCTCCGTGGCAGGCTTATAGAACTGGGGGTTTGGGGGTCTTCGGCTGTTTGTTCAACCAGGTCGGCTATGTTGTCCATATGAAATCAGAAAATAGCACATAAAAGCTCCCAAAGACCCAGAAGACCCCCAAAACCCCCAGTTTGGCATGCTATGGAGGCTATGATGGAGGCTAGGTGTACATGTGCGTCGTCTTAGCCGGATTTTATCTTCACCAGACAGTTTTGAAGACAAAAGACAGCCATTGTACAGTCAAACCTGCCCAAGCCGGCCACAGAACGACCGGATACAGACTTTTTTCCAATAGACACAAGCATAAGGCCACCTGTCTAAGAAGACTTTGCCTCTGTCAGGTTTGGGCAGGTTTGACTGTTTACTGAATGTTTGCTATGTTGCTGTTCCTTTGATGAGTATCTTAAAAAAAAAAAAAGATAGTTTTCGGTGCCCATGTGAAAGAAGGGACACAGGAGTTAAGTTATTGTTTAACAGGGCACGTTAGTTACTAGTACCCTGGCTGCCATCCTATCTGTTTATTAGTAGTGATAGTTTAAATGGATAAAACCCTTGCAGCGCAAGGCTGAATGGAGGCTTTGTACGGACGTCAGGGATTCAAAAACATCCAACACTCTAAAACGTGACTTCGTATGGCAAGTGAGAGTTCTTAATAAGTTATAAAAAAAGTTTTTTTTAAATTGCCTACGTCAATTCCACACCGATTTCTGAAAGATTTGTGCAATACATGGACATAAAAGGTCTTTTTTGTTCCATGAAAAAAAATCTTACCAAGTATGCACGCGGCGCGGCCGCAGCTGGCTACATTACACCAAACGACTTGTTACGCCTAACTCTTGAACATCTAACTCTAAACACTTGTTTAAAGCTATCTAATGACAATGCCCCTACTGTACTTGGTGACAGCGAGTTCCACTCTGCGATAGTTATAGGAAAGAATGAGTTTTTGAACACCTCAATCCTTGGCTGATAACTCTGGTACTTGGTAGGGAGGGCAGACCACAGAAAGCGTGCTATTTATATAGTGAGTGCATACGTTCTTAAGCCATAACTCTGAGGACCAGTTTTGTTCACATATGTATTTCTACATATCACTCTTCTTTGTTTTTGCTCTGTGTGACAATTATTACATTATAGTACATAAGTTAAGGCTGCTATTGGTATTGCATGATAGTTTTTTTACATGATAGTGCAAGCAAAAACATTATGTAAAGGCAACATTTAAAACAAAAAACTTCAGAAGTGACGATTACTATATTTCAAAATATAGAGGATTGGTAATTTCTATACTCGACAGAATCTGGAGTAGCGCATAAAATCAAAGAACCCACATATTATAGAAGAAGTGGTTAAATTCGTCTTCCATTGCCTAAAAAGAAGAAGTCAAACCCAGTAAAACTATAGCTAGTACCATGTATGTTGTAGAATATAGTATAATGTTACGGACGTAGATATAGTCTCACATACCACATACTTATGTTGTTTGTAACTGCAATTAACCCTCGGGCATGTATTTGCAATAAACTTTCTTGTACAGTGTAATTTGCTTTGATACTAAATCTCCAAAATTATAATTAGATTGCCCATCAATACTTAACCAAATATCGTTAATATCCATTCACAAAGTTTAGAGTTATCCTGCATACATGCAATCGAAAATGCACAAAACGTCCGCTAAAATACGATGAAAAAAGCCAGATGCATCATTTTTTAACTTGAACTACATTTATACAACAGCTACTTACATATACATGCCAAAAATAAACAAAATCCGCCCACAAATAATCGAGTTCTGACGTTTATACGGTGACACGCCGCAGCTGCTCCACAAAAATCTACCGATTCCATATCTTTCTGACGAAAGCAATTACATGTAGATTGAACATGCATACTTTACAAAAAACACTGAGTCTCCATTTTCTTATTTGGATAATTATTAGCAATAACATTAACTGTTCTTACACACTGTGAATTGCAGTAAACATTTTTGGGGACGGCGAAACAATTCTTACAAAATAAGCCATGAGAGACTCTTTACACTGAACATTTAGTTGAACTTATATTTCCCTATAAGCAAAAATAAAAATTATAATAATAATAAAAAAGATAAGCAACCAAACTACAAATTTGGCAAGTACGTGAGCTATTAATACTGAACACAGCTTTAACTTTCTCTCGCGAATGTAACTTACACAAAATTCAAGTTATTCTTTTGGTGTCCGATAGGTACTATGTCATATTAAAGGACAGGGTACTACAAAGTTCCTTTATGTAGAGCATTTTATAACATTGTAAGTCATCAGTGCATCTGCTTTCTTCACAGATGTTCATTTTGGAAACGAAAATCTAATTTGTAGGATTAAATATTTGTAGGAGTTTTGCATTAAAATGATATTATAAGTGCAGAGTCTTTAAAAGTGAATGGTCTGTACCTCATTTAACATCCAATTTAATGAATGACTTTATATACCAGCTGTAGGTTTCAGCGCCCATGTGAAAGAGGGCAGCTAGCACTTCGTTATGTGGTAAATTCCCCACTTTTAGAGATTACATATTAGGTTGAGACTGATCCTGTCCTGTCTGATCATGGCCACTAGGCATTTCTGTTGACGCTTCATCCCTCGTTTGCATTTTCACATCTACATACATAGGGGTTAAGACAGCTAGCACTTCGTTATATGATAAATTCCCCACTTTCAGAGATTGTATATAAGCATGAGACTGACCCCGCCCTGCCTCATCATGGCTCCTGGCCATTTCTGTAAATGTTGGTTTCTTTGGTGTGTTTTTTTTTACATCTACGTACACATAATGTTTGGCTGCAAGGCAGCTAGCACTTCGTTATGTGATAAATTCCCCACTTTTAGAGATTACATATTAGGTTGAGACCGATCCTGTCCTGTCTCATGATCATTGGCCATTTCTGTAGATGTTGGTTTCTTTGGTGTGTTTTTGTACATCTAGGTACATATAGTATTTGGCTGTAAGGCAGCTAGCACTTCGTTATGTGGTAAATTCCCCACTTTTAGAGATTACATATTAGGTTGAGACTGATCCTGTCCTGTCTCATGATCATTGGCCATTTCTGTAGATGTTGGTTTCTTTGGTGTGTGTTTTTTTACATCTAGGTAAATATAATGTTTGGCTGTAAGGCAGCTAGCACTTCGTTATGTGATAAATTCCCCACTTTTAGAGATTACATATTAGGTTGAGACTGATCCTGTCCTGTCTCATGATCATTGGCCATTTCTGTAGATGTTGGTTTCTTTGGTGTGTGTTTTTTTACATCTAGGTAAATATAATGTTTGGCTGTAAGGCAGCTAGCACTTCGTTATGTGGTAAATTCCCCACTTTTAGAGATTACATATTAGGTTGAGACTGATCCTGTCCTGTCTGATCATGACCACTTGGCCATTTCTATAGATGCTTCGTCCTTTGGTGGTGTTTTTACATAGCGTTTGGCTGTAAGGCAGCTAGCACTTCGTTATGTGATAAAGTCCCCACTTTTAGAGATTACATAGTAGGTTGAGACTGACCCTGCCCTGTCTGATCATGGCTACTGGCCATTTCTGTAAATGTTGGTTTCTTTGGTGTTTTTTTTTACATCTACGTACATGTAGAGTTTGGCTGTAAGGCAGCTAGCACTTCGTTATGTGATAAATTCCCACTTTTAGAGATTACATGTACATATTAGCTTGAGACTGATCCTGTCCTGTCTGATCATGACCACTAGCCATTTCTGTTGACGCTTCATCCCTTGTTTGCATTTTCACATCTACATACATAGGGTTTTTGCTGTAAGGCAGCGTGCACTTCGTTACGTGACAGATTTGCAACTGTCAGA